AGGTTGTGGAGAAAGGGGAACCCTCCTACACTGCTGGTGGGAATGCAAGTCAGTTCAACCATTGTGGAAAACAGTATGGAGGTTCCTCAAAAAGCTCAAAATTGGAATACCATTTGACCCAGGAATTCCACTTCTAGGAATTTACCCTAAGAATGCAGCACTCCAGTTTGAAAAAGACAGATGCTCCCCTATGTTTATCACAGCATTATTTACAATAGCCAAGAAATGGAGCAACCTAAGTGTCCATCAATAGATGAATGGAAAAAGAAGATGTGGTACATACACACAATGGAATATTATTCAGCCATAAGAAGAAAACAAATCCTACCATTTGCTATAACATGGATGGAGCTAGAGGGTGTTATGCTCAGTGAAATAAGCCAGGAGGAGAAAGACAAGTACCAAATGATTTCACTCATATGTGGAGTATAAGAACAAAGGAAAACTGAAGGAACAAAACAGCAGCAGAATCACAGAACCCAAGAATGGACTAACAGTTACCAGAGGGAAAGGGACTGGGCAGGAGGGGTGGAAAGGGAGGGATAAGGGCAGGGAAAAAGAAAGGGGACTTAGGATTAGCACGTATAAGGTGGGGGGGGGGGCATAGGGAGGGATGTGCAACACAGAGAGGACAAGTAGTGTTTCTACAACATCTTACTACGCTGATGAACAGTGACTGTAATGCGGTTTGTAAGGGGGGACTTGCTGAAGGGGGAGTCTAGTGACCATAATGTTCTTATTGTAATTGTAGATTAATGATACTAAAATGAATAAAAAATAAATAAATTTAAAAAAGAAAGAAGTGACTTAAAGACAGAAAACCAGAGAGTGTTATAAGGGACCCTCAGGGCCCTCAGACCTCTCTGGTGAAGGAGCTTTTATTTTAATGAGAGAGATACTGGCTTTGATACAAATGTTTTTATTGGGAAAGTGTTAAGCATAGGCACAAAAAAAAAAGATTGTATATCAATGATACCTTAATAAAAATAAAATAAAGCTATCTGCAGTGTCAGAACTTTATACAATATGAAATAATTCTTAACTATAAGCTCTTCTACCTGTAGAAAGTTACATGTGGTATTAATTAGGACTACCAAAAGTAACTGCTAGTTACTTTTGATTGTAAGTAAAAGAAACTTAAACAACTTTAAGGAAATAATGGATGGGCTTGGTAGCTGGGAAACCAAGGCAGAGTTATATCCAAGAGATCAGAGATGTCATCAGGTCTCTCTGTTCCCCATTCCCACAGCTCTGTTCAGTTTCATTTTCTCTCCACTCAGGCAAAATATCCCCTGTGGTCTCAAGCTGCCATGATCCTTACAGGCTTTTATCTTGAAAATGAGAGTATATCTTTTATATCTTTCATTATTACACCAGAAAGTCTCAAGGAGAATGACTAATGTGATTTCTATACCTGAACAATTAGTATGGCCAGGTGAGTGAAGTACTTAGATCAAGCTCTTGTCATAAGCTCACCATGGAAAGCAGATTCTATTCTAGTGAACAATCTAGACTAAGTTGAATTAATGTGGAATGGGTGCAGATGAGGTTCTCCAAAGGAAGTGCTTCTAAGTAGAAAATGAAATGTCCCCTATAAAGCTGCAAAGATCCAGTGCCACCTTTGTAGCCTTTCTCTTTGTGGCTTTTTATCAAGAGATTGGTGCTGAAGTTCTTGTCCTCACTAAGATACTTGTAATTGCTGCTCTTTTGTGGTGGTGGTTGGGTGGGGGAATAATAAAAGATGAGAAATAAAGACCTTATAACTCTGCCTGTTCCAAAAGCTCAGGAAAAGAAGAGAAAAAGACCACTCATTTTGGAGTTGGGAAGAGGCTGGAACTTGACTCCTGATTCTGTGACCTTGAGCTGCATAGGGAACTGAAAGACTCTTCTATGAAGAGGGGTAAGCATTTGCAATTGTCTGAAATCATAAGATTAAATGGTTTTAGTCTTATTAACATAGCCTCATGACCTGGAAGGACTATTTTTATATATTGGAAAAAATTGCTCCCCCAGACGTAAAATGATGAGGAAGTTGCTGGTAGTTTACAGGAAGAAGCACTGTCACCATCAGATTTATAAGCAAGCTGACCAGCAAGTTTCACTCTCTCTTTTTCTTCTTAGTTTCCAGCATATGGAAACATTTTTATTCTGCTAGTTATTTGGAGGTAGTTACTTCTTTTTTATTAATCTTATGAAGGTTTCACACGAGCAACATTGTGATCACTACATTCACCCATATTATGGAGTTCCCCCCCCACATCCCACCACAGCCACTGTCTATCACCATAACCAGATGCCACAGAGTCACTACTTGTCTTCTCTGTGCTACACTATTTTCCCCATGACCCCCACACACACCATGTGTGTCAATCCCCTTCTCCCTCCCTCCCCACCGGCCCTCCCCCACCTCTCCCCTTTGGTCATCCTTAGTCCTTCTTGGAGTCTGTGAGTCTGCTGCTGTTTTGTTCCTTCAGTTTTGCTTTGTTGTTATACTCCACAAAGGAGTGAAATCATTTGGTACTTGTCTTTTGGAGGTAGTTATTTTATATACTTTCAGATGAAATAGATTTCTTACTTTAGTTGAGGGATCATTTCCAAGTAATACTTGAGAAACTAAATCCATCTTTTTTTTTTTTTTTGCATAGAAAGTCATCACTTAAAACTGTTCTTGATTTCTTCACAAGCAGAGGTAGAAAGAAGCCATGACAATGGGTCAGGGTCCATTCCTGCAGTCTTGATTCTAAATTAGTAGAGCTGATGCCACTGAATCACAAAATGTAGCGTATTCAATAGCCCCAAGTAGCTATGTAGAGTGCCCTCAAGAGGTTCATGTGAGGGCAGGTTGATGCTGGAAAACAAGGGGAAAAAATAAAATCAGACTTGATAGAGCCATTAATAATGTACAGCAGTGCTCTACAGATGGAAGGATTAGTGTGTTCTTAAGAAAGCATTTCAATATGTTTTTGTTTTGCATGTATGTTTCTATTTTTATTTTTGTTTTTCTTTAGTAGTATTAAATGCAGAAGGTAAAGCTTTCTAGTTGGAGGTATATGCAGAAGATGGAGTGAGAAAGCACTGAGGTTATGGGTAATGAAGTTTAAGAAATACTGATAAAGAGGTAGGACTGATTTTTCATTAGCATACCAAAACTGAGTGAAATCTTTCAAAAGAATCATCTAGGAGCAAAGTTTTTGATAATGCCTTAAAAATCACAAGCATACACTTGAACAAATCTACAAAGACATAAAATGAGTGGAATTTATAGTTGTAATCAAAACTCACTGCAACATTAACCTGGCACATAATAGCAGCCATATTTGTAAGGTGCTTTACAGTTTATATAACACATTCTCACATTTGCCATATATTTAATGATAGACATAATTGTGCTATATGCTAATTAAGCTTAATTAGTAAATTCTTGTGAATGACTGTAATTAGTGGGACTGGTTTGCTGCCAAAGCAAGTTTTGAGCTCTCTTTTTACTTTATTAGTTACCTAGTATTTATAATCAGGAATAGTTTATATCATATTCTACTTTGCATCATACATGCTGATCTTCATGTATATTAAGAAACAAACTCCTGAGTCCTTACATCTAGGTAGCTGAGCTTCTCTTGCTCTAGGGCTTTTGTCATAACAAAAGTCTCAACCCCTACCAGTCCCCTCCTAATCCCCCATCTCTCCCACTAGCCCTCATCTGCTCACACTTGAGGGAGAGTTGTGCTTAACATTTAACATTCATTCACCAATAAATATTTATTGAGCACAATGCCAGAGATTGAGCAAGGCTCTGGAAGCATACACAGTGGTTGGCAAAACAGTCCTGGTCCCTCATGGAGTTCTCAGACTAAGAGGATAGAGAAAACCTAGACTCGGGTGGGGTAGGTGGTCAGGAAGTTGGCAGATCTATTATACTCTCCCATTAAGCTACAAGCATGGCCTTTATCATAGGTCTCCATCTGCCTTTTTTTCCTCATTTGATTCAGCACTCAGGCAGGGAAAATGCAGCTGTCATAGCTTGTACTCCCTCTATCCCCCAGCACAGGAGGCTACGGGAAAGAGTGCCTGGCACCAGTAGCTGGATATTGAGTAGATGAAGGGCAGCTAAGGCTAGACAGAAATTAGCAAGGTGAAGATATTGGGGAAACAAGTCCCCAGAAAAGAGAGAGCATTTGCAAAGGCCCTAAGGCAAGAAAGAGCTTAGCAGGCTTAAGAAGTTCATTTCATGTGGTTGGAGGGGTTGATGCAACAGGAGAAATGGCTAGAAGACTGGAACGGTAGAGGGTCCTATAAACAAGTTAAAAAACTTTGTCTTGAGGGCACTGAGAAGCTGTGGAAAAATTTTAATGACATTTCCCTGCCTCTTGCATCTCAACCCATTATTTACCTGGATAGGCCCTTCTACCTTCAGGGACAGAGGTGCTATGCAGACAACTGTAGAATCCTTTCAGACTGAAACACATGGGCAGTTTAGCAGAAATCATGCTTAGGAGCAGAGAGTAGAAAGAATATGAGCTTGAGAGTCAGAATGCTTGGGTCTGTATGAGGTTGAACAAATTTCTTAACTTCTTTGAGCAATTGTTTTCTGCACAATTGGTAATGTACATTTAAATCCCTCATCAGAAATAACAAGTACAGTGCTGGTAGCTGGCACTCCCTAGGTGGCAGCTATCACTATGTTCACAATGCTCTTTTGCTAACAGAATTTCAAACTCCTCCTTGAGAATGAAATCACAGAATCGTATATTATCATATTGTGAGGAAACCATAAAGGTTTGTTTATATATGATGCTTGCATTCCTACTGCAGCACTGACAGTCAGTTGGTTTGTTGTCCAACATTACTATAATAGCCAGAGACAGAAAGTTCACTAGTGTCTCAAGCAGCCACTCCATGTTTGGGCTCTATTAGAAGGTTCTTTTCTTGGACTGAATCCAAATCTGCTTCCATGTAACCTCTATCCAGGGTCTCCATAGTGCCCCTAATGCCTCTTCCATGTGACAGCCCTCCAGGTGGTTGAGGTCATTATCTCCACCCCCACTCACCTAGAGTTGATAAGCTTGTTTCTTCAACCTAACAACAATCTTTTATCAATTCATCAAGAAAACACAACAACTATACAACATATACATACCCAAAAATAGAACTTAAAAACTGAAGTAAAAGGTGTTAGTGGAAGATTTTAGTAATAATAGTAGCTATCATTTACTGAGCACCTACACTATATACTTGGTGCTATAGACACAAAAAAGTAAGTCTCAATCAATCCTATAAATTGAAGAAAGACAAGTAAATGAGTATAATACAATATTATAGATACTGTGACAGAATTCTGTTCAGGAAAAAGCAGGGGGTATGGAGGTAGGCTACCAAGGGAGCAGTCATCTGTATGAAAGGGGCCTACCTCTTATAAGAGATGACACAACCTGCACCCTGATAGTTGAGTAGGAGTAGGTAATACATATACTCAACTGGATTTATCCATTTCTGTATTTGTTAAAATATCACTTTAGAGGCTTTAGTTACACAAAGTATTCAGAACAGCCACTCTCGGTAACTGCAAATACATTTCTACAAGAAATGTTAATTTTCTGTTAGCATTCCTTACAAAACCTCTTTTAGAGTGGGAATAATAGAAACCAGGCAAGCAAGAAGAATGGAACACTGTGATTTGCTGTGCCTGCATGTTGATAGCAAATATTTGGAAAGGAGGAGCTTCAACTATACTTTGGTGAACAGTGAAGTAGAAGAGCCGAGGCATACTCTGACTGTCATGACCATACAATATGGGAAGGTCACAGAAGATAGGGAGTAGTAAAGCATTTGCCCCACTGATTCACTGCAAGTTGTGTGAAAGCAACATGGTACTCATACTCCAGTACTTGCTTCTTTGTGTGAGGCCCTTTGCCCGTCCAGGAGGCTGAGGCATGCACAGAAGGTGATCCAACACGGAGCTGGGGAGCCTTGGAAAAAGATTATTTGATATGCCCAGAAATTCTGAGGATAGCTCCTTGGGCAGATGAAGCTAGCCTTCCTAAGGGAAAGCAGCGTGTCTAAGAATAAATATAACAATGAAGACCTTCTAACCTCCTGAAATGGGGCCTTTCCCATGAGAGCCATAGAGAGCAAATGACAGTGAACCTCAAGTTGCCTTCTTCAAGAAGAAACAAATGGGAAAGGCAGAAACACAAGAGTAAAATAACAGTGGAGGTTAAAACTGTAATATTTTTCAAGTTTGTTAAAGAAGCCTGTGAAAAAATGGTTATAAAACTGAGGATCTTGGAACAGTCCCTGACAAAAAACAAATAATGATCAAGTATAGAAAAGTTTGTTTCACAGTGTGCAAGCCATCTATCTTTAGAAGTCAACAAGGAGGATAAAACAAGTGTCACTATAAGCAAAAAGTACTGACAGAGACAAGTGAGGAAATAGGAGTGTTGAATGGAAGTTCCCATCCCCATTGCCCAGTTGAGGGAACTGAAGTCCTGAGAGGGTCTGGCGCTCCCAATATGCAAATAGGACTCTTTCACCTGGCAGGACACAGCACTGCAGCCCAGAGATGAGTTTAGCACACATACTCCCATCAGCCTTTTCCAAGCTGATTTGACAAAACAGAGGGATTTACTCAAACTCCTCATTTCACCGTGATACTTCATTCAGGGATTATTTCCTCTGCTGGGGCACTGGTACAAGGTAATCAGCTCTGTTTCCTGCTCCTCATTTGCTGAGCTACCTTTTTTTTTTTAAAAAGAGCCCTTCAGGCATTATTAAGACATTATTCACATAACAAAGTTCACCTTTTTAAGGTGTACAGTTCATTGGTATTTAGTATATTCATGGTGTTCTGCAACCATCACCACTATCTTAATTCCATATCATTTTCATCCCACAAATATGCCCAATCCCCCTCCCTCAAACCTCTAGCCACCACTAATCTACTTTCTGCCTTTATGGAGTTCCCTATTCTAGACATTTCATATAAATGGAATCATCCAACACGTGGTGTGTTACGTGTCTGGCTTCTTTCCCTTGGCATAATGTTTTTATGGTTCATCCATGTTGTAGCATACATCAGTACTTCATTCCTTTTCATGGCTGAGTAATATTATATCATGTATATGCTACATTTTGTTTATCCATTAATCAGTTGATGGACTTTGGGTTTCACCTTTTGGTTATTGTGAATAACAGTACTGAGAACATTCATGTATAAGGTTTTTGTGAACATACTCTTTCATTTCTCTTGGGTATATATCCAGAGGTACAACTGTTTGATCATATGATAACTCTGTTTAACCTTTTGAGGAATTGCCAGACTGTTTTTTCAAAGGGCAACACTATTTTATATTCCCATCAAGTATTTATGAGGGAATCCAATTTTTCCAAATCCTTACTACTCATCTTTTTTATTGTATCTTTTTATTGTATATCCTAGTAAGTATAAAGTGGTACTTTATGTGGTCCTGATTTTTCTCTCTCAATGAATGGTGATGTTGAGCATCTTTTCATGTGCTTGTTGGCCATTTGTATATATTCTTTGGAAAAAATGTCTACTCACATTATTTGCCCATTTTTTAATTGGGTTGTTTTTTTATTATTGAGTTTAAGGTCCTTTGTATATTCTGGTTGTTAGACCCTTAGCAGATATATGTTCTTGAATGTTTTCTCCCATTATGTAGGCTTAAATTTCTTGAAATGTCCCTTGAAGCACTGCTGAGCTACTTTTAACAAATATTTAAAAAATCTTAAACTAAATTACGAATGTGTAGCGTCTGAATTATACTTTTAAATTTAGTATTTATTAAATTATATAAATTAAATTATAATTTAACCTGCAAACAATTGAATGCAGACCATGTTTTAAGGCTTCCAAACTAAGAGTCTTGATATCATTATGGGACCCCTCATAATGATAACTATTGCTTTTATTGGCACTTATATGGCAGGCACTGTTTGGGCAGTCTGCACGTATTAATTTATCTAATTCTCACAACAATCCGCTAAGGTAGATACTTACTATACATATAAGAAAACGGAGGCAGAGGGAGATTAAGTCATTTGCCTGAAGCCAAAGAGTTAGGAAGTAATACAAATGGGCTCCAGATTCCGTTGCCTTAACGCTTGTGAGACTGCCAGGAAAGAATTAAACCATATTTTTTTACATCCATGACCTGTCGTCGAAATTATTAATAGTGTTTTAACGGCGTCTACACTCTGGACAGTTTTCCCCTCCTAGCCAGCCAGAAAGTAGGGCCAGCCACCGGGCGTCCTTATTGCTCTTTCCTCTCCCAGTCAGGTTTCAAAACCCACTCCCCTCTCCCCTCTCCCCCGGTTGCGGGGGCTTTAGTGTTTGGGTGCAATTGCGAAGTCAACTGCATCCCCCAGGTGAAGTTCTAAATTTCTGGCGGCCAATGGGTGCCAAGGAGCAGCGGATTCAGCCCAATGAAGCTCAAAGCTGAACCTTGGGCGGAGCCAGCGGAGGGGGCGGAAACGGAGCCCCACCGCGGTGGCTACAGTGTGAAGCACCGGCAGCCCCGAGCGGAACCATGAGCTGGACCTGCCCGCGTTGCCAGCAACCCGTGTTTTTCGGTGAGCCCCAGACTGAGGAAGGGGAGAAGATAGGGAGAGTGCGACCTGCTGGGTTCCCCGAGGACACGAGGAGCAGGCCACGGTGTGGTTCCAGACCCTCTTTCCACCTGTGGGGCACAGGTCCCTCGGGCGGGATGGAGTCGGCCTCCAGGAGGCACTCCCCATTGTCTCCGGGAAGCAGGGCAAGCGGGGCCGAACCGGGAAAGAAGGGTGCCCGCTGCTTAGCCTGGCTCTAGGCAGCCTCTTATTCCACCTTGTTCCTCACAGCGGAAAAAGTGAGCTCCCTGGGCAAGAACTGGCACCGCTTCTGCCTGAAATGTGAGCACTGCCACAGCGTCCTATCCCCAGGAGGGCATGCAGAGGTGAGGCTTGGCTAGGACACACAGCCCTGTGTCTGTCACTGTCCACATGCACCAGCCCTCAGATTAGGCCCTGGAGGCCCACCAAAAGCAACCTCAGCAGCCAACTCAGAAGACCACCAGCCAGGATTTGGGGAGCATGAGTTGTGCCAGTGGACCCCAGGCCTTTTGGGTGGCGGAGAGAGGAGAAGCAGCATTGCTTCCTGACTTGCCCCTGCCCTTTCTCACTGACCACAGTGGCAACTCTGGCACGCCAGCCACTCCCTACCCCTCCCAGCCCCACCAGCCCAGGCCAGTGAACAGACATACCTGGCAGCCTCTCTTGGGGGAAGGCCTGTGGGGCACAGGGGACAGCCTTGAGCAACGCCCTTCCCTCTGCTTGTGCCTAGCACAATGGGAGGCCGTATTGCCACAGGCCATGCTATGGGGCTCTCTTCGGACCCAGGGGTAAGTAAGTACCAGCCTGGAAGGGGCCAAGGGGGCAGCAGAACCCTGTCTGTGGCTGGGAGCTGGAGCTCAAGCCTGACCTCCCTCCCCTCTTCTCTCTGCAGGGGTGAATATTGGTGGGGTGGGCTCCTACCTCTACAATTCCCCCACTCCCACCACTCCTCTCAGCCCCAGCAGCTTCAGCACCCCCAGGCCCAGTATTGGCTTCCCCCAGGGCAAGAAAAGTAAGTGAGGCTGGCCTGTGGCTACTCCTCCTCCTGACCCTCCCTAGGCTGGAATGGGTGGGACCAGCTGGCTGTCTCCTACTCAGTCCTCTATTTCACATTCCGACAAATTTGGTCATGCCAAAGTTTTCTCTTAGCCATGGCCCCTTTTTGGATGTTCCCTCATGTCAGCTGCTGAGTTAAGAGGTAGACTGGGCAGATGGCATCATCTCCGTTTTACAGGTGAGGACACTGAGGTCTGGAGAGGGCAAGTGACCTTGTGTAGTCACACTGTTAGAGGCAAAGCTGGCCTGGGTCTGAGGCCACTCCCAGGCAAGAGCCTTGGAGGGATGGACCTAAGAGTAAGGGGTCACTGAGACAGAGCCAGCCCTCCCACTCCTCCGCCTCTCCCCTCCCTGTTTCTTACTCCTATCCCCTGCTCCCCAACACCTGACACCCCTGCCCTGGCCAGCTCCTCTATCAGCTTAGGTTTCCTGAGGATTGAGTTGCTGATAGAGTCGGGCTTTTGGGCACCTGAGCTCCTGGGAGAAAGCTCCAAGAAGGAAGCAGGTGGTCCCTCCTACACACAGAGGTCGGGGGAGAGGAGACTCAGCTCTGCTCAAGGGAGACAGACAAATGGTCACCTGGGTGGGAGGCTCTGGGATAAGCATGGCTTTTAGAAGAAGACAGTGCTCTGCCGGCTGGTGCTGGTGGGCCCTGCTTAGGCCTGGCCCCCACCTCAGCCCTAGCCAGGGCCTCTTCCCCTTAAAGGCCCTCCCCACATGAAGACGTTCACTGGGGAGACCTCACTGTGCCCTGGCTGTGAGGAACCTGTCTATTTTGGTAAGTGACAACAGGAAGTTTGGGGAGGGGTGTACAGGATGGGCATCAAAATGCAGGGAGGCAGTACAAAGTAGGCAGGTGGGTCTCCCTGCCCCACCCCTAGGATGACCACCTCTCTCCACCACCAGCTGAGAAGGTAATGTCTCTGGGCAGAAACTGGCACCGACCCTGCCTGAGGTGCCAGCGCTGCCGGAAGACCCTGACTGCTGGGAGTCATGCAGAGGTGAACAGGGAAGGGATGGTAGTTTTGTTGGGAGGAGGGAGACTGAAGATGGGAAGACAACCAAGCTCAGATGGTTCTCTCTCTTTGTGTCCCAGCATGATGGCGTTCCCTATTGCCACATCCCCTGCTATGGCTACCTGTTTGGCCCCAAAGGTGGGCAGCCCCACTCCAGACATGTGGGTCTGGGGGATCTGTGGACAACTTCCTGGGTGGTCAAACATGTCCCAGGCCCCTCCCAATTCCCTCCAGCCCTCAGCCCAGCACCCCCAGCCACCTCCAAGGCCCATGGTGATAAGGCTCTCTCCCTCAGGTGTGAACATTGGTGATGTGGGCTGCTACATCTATGACCCTGTGGAGATAAAATCCAAATGAGATGCTCACAGGAGAGATCGCCTGAACTTGGGCCTCCCACCATTGCCTCCATGGTTCAGTGGGACCTACAGAATTCTCCAGTCCCATGGGGTGGGAGACGGTGGGATTCTGGCAACCTGGGCCTAGACTTTTTCTGCCAATTCCTCCCTTTCCCATTCCTGTCTGATTCCACTTTGAAGGTTGGCCTCCTAGGCTTCCCAATCCCTTTCCCCAGCAAATTCTGGAGCTTCAAGGTACTCATAAAACTTGTTTTATTCTGTCTTCTCCAATAAAATACTGGCTCCCATGCCAACTCTTCTTTGGACATGGGGCTTAGACAGTGGGTTGGGGGGTGGGGAGAGGGATTACCCTGCAAAATGCCTGGGAGGTAGCAGAGCCAGCCATGGGAACAAAGAGCTCTGTTCTCCTGGTTCCTTGGCCCTGGCATTGGGCAGCCCCCAGCACCCCACATTGGACAGCATGCCCCCCAGCCCTGTTGGTACCAGAAGTCATCACAGGACAGCCCCTTCTTTAGCATCATCTCCAAATGAAGCACCTAATTCAGCATCTCATTTGAGCATGACAACAGAGAGATCCTGTGGTGGAGTCTGTTCAGAGGCTTCATTATCCATTTGAGAGATGACCAGACTGAGGCCCAGAGAGGGAAAGCCACATGCTTAAGGTCACACAGCAAATCAGTGGCAAAGTCATAATCAGAACCCAGGGCCAAAGTCAGTGGCTCTTCTTCCCAGCCAGGGCTCATTTCACAGCCCCACACTGCTGCCCCAACCCAAAGAGCACTTTAATTTATAGGATTCCCCCCAGCCATGCTAGGGATGCCAGAATTCTCCAGCAGCCCACTGCATTCTGGGAAGTCACCCTATTGCTGGAGGTCAAATAGCTAAGGCTGGATGAGCACAGAGAGGGGGCATTGGTGGTAACTCCATCCCAGGGCAGGGGGTGTTATGTCCCCAGCCCTGGTCACAGGGCCTGCTCTTCTGCTCTCCCACCCCCTGCTGAAGAACTTGTGTGAAGGGCCTGCCCTGGATACCATTCAGTCTTGGATCTGTTTCATGGGCATCTCTTCCTCCTGAAGGCTGGATGGGGCACTGGGGAGAAAACAGTCATGAGCAGTGGTGGGATTCAGCCCCTGAGTCTACCAGTCCAGCCTGCCCCATCAGGGCTGACCCAGGGCTCTCTCCAGCTCCTGGCGTACAGACATGTGTACCCACACATGCTGGTACACATCCCTGAGGTGTGGGCATGCCTGAGTGAGCACACATCCATCTCTTTCTGGATAATCTTGATACTTGTGTACACACATACACTCACATACATATTGACTCGTGTACTTTTATACATGCAATTTACACACCTGTGCACACTCCCATACGTGCTCCAGATACACATAACACATTTCTTCCTGTGACTCCTACCTAAGGTGTCAGGTACCTGAGCACCTATATCCACAGACAGTTCTGGGCACATACCCCTTCCTCTCCACGTCCTGGATGGTCTCTGGCAGCTGTGCCTGCCTTGTCTCTGGCAGCAAAAGGGTAGTGCAGGCAGCCAGCAGGGCAGTTCCTCCATAAATGAGCTTGGGCAGTGACAACCATGCTCCATCCAGCAAGGCTGCCAGTGGAGCCAAAGAGCCCCCCAGCCGGCCCACCAGTGCAGTCAGCCCCATCCCTGTCTGTCTGTTCGGAAAGAAAAGATGGGGGATGGGATTGGTGCTCACAACTACTTGGGGTCATGCCTCGTAGGGCTCCCCAGACAGCTAGGAAAGCTGGGGCTTCTTTCAGGTGGCCTTCCCACCCACCCACCTCCAGGCCAGGGCTCCTGGGGCCTCTGTTCTGACAGTACCAATAAGGTGCCATTGAAGGAAAAGCCACTATAAGGGGATGGGGAAAGGGGAATGTGGAAGGAAGTGGAAGTGTCAGCAGCTCAAACAGACCGTGCCTTGTTGTTAGAGGAGACAAATGGCTTTCCAAACCTACCCAGCTGCCTATAGGTCTCCTTCTCACCTAAGCTGTCAACAGACAGCTTAAAGGGCTCCAGGATTTACGGCCAGAGGCAACCCCCTGGGATGACCCTGTGGTGAATGGGATGGGAGCTTCTCTTCCAAAGGAGGCCCAGAGTTGTCTGACCTCACTCAGGTCACTTAGTAAAGAAAATGCCCTGCCTTCTCCCGGATTTAGGCAAACAGGGCTCTGGTTAGCTCTGTATTCCGGAAGTGGAGTAAGGAGTGGGTGAAAGGGACTGGGGGCAGCCTGTGTATGTGGAGGTGTTGGCAAGAGACGTGACTAACGAGGACCCAGGCTCCCCTCACCTGAGCACGGTAGGATACAACTCCGACGTGAACAGGTAGGCAGTGCTGAAGGCAGCTTCAGAGAAGCCTTTACCCACCACCGCCAGGGCGGTGCTCCAGGACAGCATCTCTGGAGGAAAAGGGGTTCCGGCAGTGGGCGCGCCTGGTGCGAGAGCCAAGGGCTTCCAGTACGGGAGGTGGAGCCTCGGGTGAAGGCGGGTCTTAACTGGTTTTGACTGGAGGTTCCAGGAAAGGGCGCGCGTTCGGCCAGGGGGCGGGACTCACCGGAGGACACTACTAGTCTGAGGCCCAGGGAGAGGGCGGTGCCCAGCAGCGCTCCAGCCAGCGTGAGGCGGCGGCCGGCGTGGCGCACTGACAGGTAGACCAGCAGCTTGGAGGGCAGCTCCACCGCCCCAAACAGCAGCTGCGTCTGGTACACGTTCAGCCCCAGCCCCGACACGTCCAGGCTCAGGCCGTAATAGGAGAAGTTCACTCCAAACCTGAGGGGGGTCACGATGCCATTCAGGGGCCCTCTTTCCCGCCCCGCTTGTCCCTTCTCCTCAGGATGCCTCGGCCTTTGAGAGGAACCACCTCCCCCGCCGTCAGAGCCCGCTGCCCTGTCCCATAATCCCCCCGAGGGTGCAGCTCGTGTCAGTGGCCCAAGCGCCTTTACCTGATCTTCACAGCAACCCTGTGAAGTAGGAACCAACAGCGCCCGGTCTTGCAGAAGGGCACTGAGGCTCACAGTGCTAAGTGACCTCCTCACGGTGTCACAGTAAGAAATGGCAGAGTCTGAATTTGAACGCACCTGCCTCTGAAGCTTGTTCCATCTTCTGACCTTCCAGAGCCCTATGCCCCGCCAGAGGCTGATCCTAGGGCTCTTCCCCGTTTCAGTTTGCTCATCCTGGAGTCCGCGCCTCCCTCTACCCCCTCATCCCCCAAGCCCAGACCAGCCCTTCCTCACCAAACCACCATGCAGCACAGTGAGATGTGCCGAAGCCGCGGAGTCCGGAACAGGTCTAGGTAGGAAGGTCTTCGGACCACCCGCTCCCTAGTGGCCACTTTGTTCAGGGTCTGGTGGGGGAGGAGGAGAGTTTGTGACATTGGAATTGGCTTTGCAGCCTTAGCAAGGCACACAGCTCTCTCTGGGTCTCTGTTCCTCCCTTCTGCAGTAGGGGGGTGGGGATGCACAAGAGAGCTTGAGTAGGGTAGTTTCTAAGTCAAGGGTGTGGCCCACCAGAGCCAGGTAGGGCATCCTGAAGAGTTTGGGACTCCCCACTGGAGAGACAGGGATGACTTTCCTGCACACACAATGGGCCCCGGGAAAGGGGCACTTCACATAGGCCACACACACACATGCACACACATGACTCGCATGCACTCACACCGCATGTTCACCCTCACCTCCCAGCTCAGGCTGTCCTCACCCGCTGGTCGCCCATTGAGTCTGGCGCAGTGGAGCAGGTACTTGTGGGCCTCCTCCACACGGCCTTGGGTCAGAAGCCAACGGGCAGACTCAGGCACCCACCTGGAGCAGGAGCCCTCCAGTCAGTCAGCACCCTAAGCCATACCCCCTACCCATCTTTCCCCAACACACCGCACGCTGGCAGCCTCCAGGCTCTGGCTCACACAGTCCGCTCCACCTGGAATGTCTTCTCCTTTCCAAACCCTCCTGACCTGGTGAACTTTTATTCCTCCTTTAAGACCAAATTTAAAAGCTACCTCTGCCCACACTCCCTTTCCTAGGCCCAGGTCCCCCACAGTCTGGCCTCAGCCCTAAGACCTCAGCCACCAGCACCAGCCACCCACTTCTCCCACAAAAGACAGGAGAGCACAGGATAAAGGAGAGACATACAGACATACCGAGAGGGGTCATCCAAGCCAGTTCACTTTGGGAAGGCAACGAAATGCCTACCCTGCCTGGCCTCCCTCCCTCCTGCTTGGATCTCCTACCCCTGTGCTTGCCCTGCTCCCATCCCCACCCCTCCAGGGTGCCAGCCTCAGAATGTGCTTATGTGCTGGGTTCTGTTTCTGATGTTGTGCATGTGTCCATCTCCATCTGTCCCTCTGAATCTGCCTTTCAGTCCTGGTCTCTGTCACTCACTCTGTCTCACAGGTTCTGTCTCTATCTCTCCATCTCTATCTCTGTACATTCTGTTTCTCTGCATCTCATGAACAGTGCCATCTTCTTCATACTGGTCTCGTGTCTCCTCTCTCTCTGTCTCTTTCCTTCTCTTGGTCACTAGTTCTCTTTAGCATCACTTCTCAGTCTCTCTGTCTTTAAATCTCAGCCTCTGATTAATCCTGTCTTCAGCTTCTTATGTCTCCCACTCCCCAGCAGCCCGCAGGGCTCACCAGAGGCTGAGGATGCCTGGGGCACAGGGCAAGGTGACAGTCAGCAGAAGCCATCGCCAGTCCCGTATGAGGTACCCGACCAGTGCCAACAGCATCACACCCCCTGTCCAGAAGGTGCCACTCAGGACACCTGCCACAGTACGGTGTCCCACATCCAGCCACTCCATCTCTGGTCCAGGGCAAGAGCCAAAGACAGAAAGGCCAGAAGGGTTCAGTTTCACCTTTTACCACTGCCTCCCTCCAGCCCTCTAGGCCTTGCTCATCCTTTGCTTGCCTCACCCAGTGGCATCACGATGATGGTGAAGCCAGCCAGGGCTGCGCCAGTAAGGGTCCGGGTGATGGCGAACATAATGTAGCTGACTGAGGCTGCAGACACCAGGCCCAGCACTAGGGCACTCACATACGCCACCAGCAGCAGACGGCGCCGCCCAAACCTGTACGGGGTCATGCAGGGTCAACTCTCTGTAGAAGGGAAGTCCCAAGACAGAGGTAGACTAGGAGACTAGGCCCATACCCCCACTAATGGGAGAGGGTGCTCCACCCCACACCCTTATTGACCCTCCCACCTCACTCCACCTGTCAGACAGGTATCCAAAGGCCACGGCCCCCACCAGCACACCAGCAAAGAAGAAGGTAGAAATGGCTCTGTTCAGGCCTTTCTGCTCACACACGAGGTCCCACTGCAGGAAAGGCAGGGAGGGGCCTCCCATGGGCACAAGTCCCACTCCAGTTGGCACCAATTCCCCCTCTCCAGACTCTAGGGCCTTCTAAAGTCATCTGTGCCATCCTGGTACCTCTATGTCAGATAATAAACCCCCAACTA